TTTGAGAATCCCATTTAACTTCTTGCTGCAATTTGCTTTGGAAATGGCTTAAAACAAATAATATTTTCAGGACTGAAAAGAGCTCTTGGCCTGAACTAACCAACTTGGTCTCCTGTTCTGGCCCCTCCTGTGTCTCCCCCATGTCCCTCCTCCCTTCCAGCCAAACCCACCGTCTCCATCTCCCCCACCAAGCTGGACCCCGCTTCCCCCAACACCATCCTCCTCTGCACCGCGAGGGGCTTCTACCCCGTGGAGATCATGGTCCGGTGGCTGAAGAACGGGCGGCCGGAGGAGGAGGGCGTGGCATTCGGGGAGGAGCTCCAGAATGGAGACTGGACCTACCAGCTCCAGGTGATGCTGGAGACCCAGCCCCAGCGGGGGGATGTCTACGCCTGCCAGGTGGAGCATGCCAGCCTGGAGGCCCCGATCACCGTCCAATGGGGTGAGCCCTTCCCCTCCATCCCCTCTTGGTCTGGGGACCCCATCCTGCCCTGAGAAGGGGGGAGGGACCCTCCCTGCGCGGGGAGCTTGGATGGACCCTCCTGGGGGGGGAAGCTGGCCCTGATCTTCCTACTCAGGGGAGGCTCCTTCTCCTTCCCCAGAGCCCCGTTCCTCCAACTCTGCCAAGAGCAAACTCTGGACGGGGATCGTGTCAGCTGTGATCGGGGTGATCTTCTTTGCCATGGGGCTCTCCCTCTACCTGAAGAGCAAGACAGGTGAGTCTGGGGGGGCTGGATAAGAGATTGTGGGGAGGGGAGCATCCAGGGGAGGCCTCTCAGCAAGCTTAGCAGATGGCAAGGAGGCTCCCCTGGGAAATTTGCTTGGGAAATTCTGTTCTCTGAGAGTCTACTGCATAAGTGAGCATTGTGCAACTTATTATGGGCTATCAATGGGGAGGGGCCCCCTGAGTCCTCCAGCCCATGAAGGGTCCTGATTGGGTCTTTTTCTCCTTCCAGCAACTCCCATCCAGCCTCCTGCAGGTGAGTTTCTCCCCAAGTGATAGATGTTTCTTTAACATTCGTTAATTGTTCCTTTAAAAAAAAAAAAAAAAAAAAGTGCCTGAACAAAACCTCCTAGCTGTGGATAACACAAATTTTTGAAATTTTGGGCAGCTTTTCATTACAGAGACCTGAAAACAGTGCAACCGAAAACAAACACACACACAAACACTAAAATATGCCCCAGGATGTTTCCAGGTTTTGGGAAACTGCAAAAGGGAAGTGAAGTCTCCTTGTGACATTTCACACAATTTCTGGCAAATTGACACCCAACTTTGCTACCACTCCCCATCCTGGCCCCATCTTCTTTGTTGATATGAAACGTCTGGGGGGGGGAAGCCTCCTTTCCTGATTAACCCCCCAGTTAAGTCAATTGGGAAAAATTCAATAAGCCTCTGGAGATGAATTGCTGGTCCTTTGCATCCTTTTCCTCTTTGAAAAAAAGGGGGGGGCACTCCCTCATTTTGTTCCTACCTAACAACCACCCCACTGCAATGTGGGCCTTTCTGGGGTGGTGGTGGCTGAAAGAGAGGAATAATAAGCTATTTACACTGGCTTCACTTTATTTTCTAACTTTCTTCCCCGTCTCTTTTTTTCTACAGCACTCATGAATTAATCCTGCCGTCCTTCCTGCTTCCTGGTGGGAAAGGAAGTTTTTTTTTTTTAGTAGCCAATGAATTTCTACCTTTCTTGCAATCTCTGAAAAATGGAGGCTCAAGATTTTAGATTGGGGATAGGAGGAGACCGGCAGCCTGGAGCTTCTCCTGCTGAGACCCCTCTGGCTTTCCTTTCTGGTCCTCCCTTTCTTTGGAGGGAGTGAGGGAGACCATCTTGACTGACCCCAGGGACTCCAGGCCTGCCTGTCACTCCAGACACCCAAATCTCTCTCTGCTTTGAACCCACAGCAGCTTCATCTCCATCACTCTTCCTCCGAATCCCTTCCTTTTCCTTTGCAATAAAAGAATAAAATTTAGATTGTAGTAAAACCCGGGAATTCCTCCTTCCTTCCTCTTCCTCCTCCTCTTTCCTGCCCCTCAGGAGAATCCCCCCTTCTCCCTTCCCCCTCCCTGGATTGAGGCCTCTGCTGCCTCCGGATTGACCATCCGGCCTAGTTTAGGCCTGAAAGGAGTAGATTAGTAATCAGAAATTTCTAATGGGTCTACAGGTGGATAGAAGAAGCCACCTGAAAGTCATAAGTTCAGACAAATAAGAAAAGCAGAGGTTGATAGCTAACTGAAACCGAAACTAGAGGAAACACAAAAACTGAGAATAAAGTTTAGAGTTTAAGGTAGTGTTGGAAGAAAAATCTTCATCATGGTTCATCCATGCTGGGAATAAACATGGCAACTTCTTTGGGAAGAAGGTTGTAGTTTATTGGAGACGAGAGCCAGACAGGAAGATGGTTCTGGCAGAAAGAGAATTGAAAAAAAAGGGCAGAGCACATATAGGAAGTAGGTTTTTTATACCCTCTGGAGCCTTTTGTTTCGGGTTATTTCCTGTTCCTGTTTTGAGGCTATTTAATTTAATTTAATTTAATTTAATACATTGACTTATATGCCGCCCTTCTCCCCACGGGACTCAGGGCGGCTCACAGCATATTAAAACAACATAGCACATTTCCCCAATAAAAGCCAATTAAAACCAAATATTTGTAGCTGTGTCTCTTATTAAAAATCATTAAAAATTATCCCTATTTAAAATTCACCCTAGGTC